AGGGTTGTTTTTCCTCCTTGTTGGTCTTACAGGGCCCAAGTAGGCTGGGTGGAACAATGCAGGAAGATGTTGTTTAAATCAACCCAATTTTCATTTTTCGGGCGTGCTCGGGTCGGATCCTAATTTGTCAGGTCTACTAAACAAAGTAAAACTAAATATCCAATTAGGGCTTTGATGGAAATCAAATCCAGATACATTTTCATTTTCTTTCCATATTGAACAGCTCTCCCCCACTTTATACAGATAACACATACATCCTTACTCTTCATTCAAACTAAACGAGCATCTAAAATCACTAAGTGGCAGCAAATTACAAACTACAACAACACAAGCACTATAGGCTCACATGACAGAAGATACAGAAACTACAACGACAAGCGAACAGCGAATCCAGTCCGATTCAGTGTTTTGTGCTAACCCATCTACACTTCTTACAAGATTAACATTAATAAGTTGGGTGCTTTCATTCGTTATCATCGATCCAGTCACCGTATATCCTGCTGATTTTATCTGGGCCCTTCCATTTCTGATGAGCTCTGTGGCCGGATCTCTGGATAAGGATAGATGATGATCTTTGAGATGGAACTCCGAGGTGATGATATGTATCAGAATGAGGGACTGAAGTCATCAAAGCAACCACTGAGTCAAGGGGTGTTTTGGGAGCCACAACTCCTGTCTTCGAGTCACTAGCGGCGGAAGAAGGAGAATCTTTGGCATCTGAATCCACAAGCCCGCCTCCATACCGATGTAACTCTGCAGAGATGAAAAGATACGGTAAAGGAAAACTACAGGAGCTCAAAATGTATAATATAACGAGCTTAAGGAACGTAACTACAATTTCCAGCAACACTTGCTTCAGCACAGTTCAAGTTCTTTTTAAAGTCAACAGTGTTGGATTATAGAAGAGTTCAGCAGAGGAACCTATGCCCAGGAAAGTCTAAAAATCATCTGAAGGTGGAAAACACCAACTTTTCACATTCCCTCAAAGAATTAAGGAAAAGCATGATGATTACATCATAATTGTCTTAACCTCTATCTCAGTCGCCAAAACATACAAGCATATGTCACTGAGAAAGTAGACTCCTTGAACAATTAGTTAGGGACTCCTGACATGTGAAAGAGATACCCCCAACAATTTGACACCAGAAGTTTCACAGAATTGAAAAGATCAGCCACATGTGAGGTAAGTAACAAAATGTATATTTGTAAGGGTAGTTTGATGTACAAAAATAAGAGTACATTGGAACTAGATTTGTCAGGAATCAATGACTTGACAAGCTCGACAGACGCTAATTCAATGTACCCATCATAATGAACTAAACAAGAGGTATATCAGTGGTATACAGAAACGAGTTGAATGTTGCAAAATGTGTAGTATGTACTTTGTAGACTTTGAGTATAAAAACTTCAGACTGAAATGGACCTTAGCTGTCAGGACTCTTCCTGTAAATGATACAGGTCACATATAAAAGGACTAGAAGACTTGACACTTAACCATTCCCAGATAAAGGAAAGAGTTCAACTCCAATTCCCAAGAGCCAATAAAACATTCCTACAAGCTCCCGTGAATATGTCAAATACTTAAGTTCTTGGACAATAATCCAACACTATTTTCAGTTTTGCACTAAGGCATGAGAGCAACCAATGACCCTCTGGCTAAGGGCTAGTTGAAATCAATGAGATTATTGGTGTGTCTGACTATGACTCTATGAGTAGCAGTTCCCAGTATAAACGACGAACTACCAAGTGAAGCATTATACTCTACAACCACACATATATCATTACTTCCTTCTTTCTGTTAAAGTTGCAGATTGTTTCTTTAATTGCAAGCTCAGGCTCCAATCAACATACATTCCAACTTCATATCTATAGAAACCCCAAGGAAATTCTCATACCACCATCCTTACATTTACTGATCACGACTTACTGCATACGTGAAAAATTCAAGTCCAAGATGGAAAGTTCAATTTAAAGGACACCTAAAGTTGCCTTAAAGGTGATGAAAACAGTAGGCTAGCCTGTTGTTCTTCAACCAAAGTCTTATGTTCTAAATTACCAAAAGAAAAAAAAATTACGTTTTAAGGTACAATTCCACCTAGGGTTACCCTTAAACTTCTTTCCTAAATTGAAATTATCCAAACATTTAGCTTAAATAAACGCGACTTATACATGTTTAAAACTATACCAGATCCATCATTGTAACATTGTTGTTTGATCACAATATACCATTACTTGCAAGTAGACAAATTCAAACACTCATCAAACAAGAGCAAGGCACAACATACCTGCAGATCCATGAGCAAAATGGCATTTGATCCCAAACGGGCAATACCCGGTGAGTTCCCACTTGTTACATATCCTCGTCTTCCAATTTGATGGCTTCAAGTTCGCAGCAGCACCACTTCCACTACCTCCAACCACAATAACTCCGCTATCTCCACTCCCTCCTCCGCCTCCTCCACCTCCACCTCCTCCTACGACTATGCTGCTGCTACTACCACCACCACTTCCTCCTCCTCCACCATACCCTCCAGGCCCCAAACTTATCGCCACACTCTCCCTATACTTGGAATGCTCATCGTGCAAAAACGTACAACTCTCTCCATAAGGGCATCCTTCCTCAGTATAGAACTTCTTGCAATGCCTACCTTTATAAGACCTCTGCGTCTCAGCTCCAAATCCACCACCAACGGAAGGAATCTGAAACTCCTCCCTAATAATCTCAGCTGCCATATTATTCCCTCCTTTCTCCTCCCCGTGCGCCGCCACTATCTCCTGCCAATTTGGCGGGGGGCGACGAAGCTCCTCCATGTTGTGAGCAAAGTTACAGTTAGTTATGTAAGGACAAGTCCCCGCCCGAAACTTACAGCACAGCTTCGTCTTGAAGAACATCTTCCCAATCGTCTTCTTCGAAGCCTGCTCCGGCACCTGGGAACTCGATGAATTTGACGAAGTTCCTTTCGTCTTCTTGCTCGGAGGTTCGCCGCCGTCGGCGGACAGATGATCCCAGGCGCGGTATTCCTCCTCAGTTGCCCAGACCGGGACGGGATTGGAATCGGAAGGTTTCGGAATCCAATACTCCGGGACGGTTTGAATTACATGGACAACATCTCCATCCCTCCTACTGTAATCCATTCCCAAACCCTAATAAACATGGAAGAGGCGGGAAAAAGGTTTCTCTCCCTCCCTTTTTCTAATCAAATCCTGAGGAAGATAAATACCTAAAAGAAGAAATAGTAGGAGCCCACAACGAGGATTAGGTTCAGCTCCAATGGGTTGCTCCGGAATTCTGGAAATTTGCCGTCGGGTTCCATTGAAAGCGTGAAGAAAGAAAGCCGACAACAGGATCGAAGAACTCGCTCCAACTATGGCGCCAACTATGCCAGTGGAAGTTGAAGAGCAGAAATGAAAATTGGGGTTAGATCCAAAAGGGTAAGTAGCTATGAAGCAATGGAGTTGAAGAAGCCATGGAAGTGGGACGAAGAAGGAAGCCAAGCAACCGTTCTATATTGATTGACAGTGTACGGAAGGGATAAGGAAATAAATGGGCAGATGGAAAAGAAAAAAAAAGGAAATGTGGAGGGATTCAAATAGTAGTTTTGTTTTCTCGAAATTCTTCTTCTCAATCGCTATTCGTCGCCCTAAATTTTGAAAAATTTAGCCCTAAACCATACTGAACTGACGTTTATATCCCTAACTCCAATTTCTCTAATTCGTAGTCGTCCCCCCACAAGCCGATTGCCGGCCGCCGGTGCCGTTCTCCAAATCCGCCGCCGGTGCCGTTCTGATTGCTATGTGTCTGTGTATTTGACTTGATTACTCGAATCACAGCTTTGGCTAGCTTTGGTTCCTCTATTCTTCCTTTCCTTTTTGTTTGGTTCTACCTCTCGCTTCTTCTCTGCTCTCTCTCTCTCTCTCTCTAAAAACGAGCCAATGACGATAATATTTGATCGATTTTCTATTTTCCGCGAGCTCCCGGCTTAGTAGCGGTAGAGCTGCCGATTCCACGGCGGGGAGACTCAGGATGGTCGAATTTATGGAAAATCTGATTCCCCCGGCAACAGATTGTTTCGCAGCACGGACGTGTAGGATCTTCCTCTCCTTCTCTGGACTACAATGGTGGATCCGAGCCTCCACTGATTTGTTACTCGCATTTGATTTCATTCAAGAACTACTTCCAAAAAACAAAAATTCAACTTAAAAGTTTCAATTTAAGTTTTCAGTACTGCTTGTGAATGCTTAAGTTGTGATTCCAGTAACCAAGTCACCATCGTTCTATCTCCCAACCATCGAACCTACACTGGAGGCAATTATGTGGTGATTGTTTTATTTTTTAACTACATGATTGTTTTAGAGTTTTAGATTGAAAGGCAAAAAAAAAATTAACTAAGGACAGTAAAGTAAATTTAATATTTTTAGGGCGACGAATAAGAATTTTTAGGGCGACGAATAGCAATCCCCTTTTTCTTTGGGTGGGAAAATACTTTCAAGGTCTTCCAGCTTTAATCCTCTTCTTTTGGTGGGTCTAAATTAGGTCAGTTTAATCTCTTGCCTTTCGTATTTTGATCCATTAGATTTTCCTAACTTCTAAAATGCCTCATTGAATTTCTTAACTTGCACATTGTCTGAAATCATGTCTCCTGTAACCTATAGTCTGCAGCTCTGAAAGAAGCCATTGACGATCTCGAATGGCCTGGTTCCAGCATACACATCAACCTCAAACCAGCACCACCTCCATCCGTTTCGTTCAGAGGAGAAGGTCATGGAGATTTGCAGGTAAATTGAACACAAATGTATGTCTTCATTTCTGTAACTAACTTCTCAGTATCTAAAAATGTTGCTCTATTTTTGTGTCACTGCAGATTGACGAGATTATTCTCTACAATATTAATCTCGCGATAAATAACAAACAGACTCAACAGCTGGAATTGGGATACCCACTCCCTCGTAAACGAAACGTTTCGATTTCCTGCTCATTTTGGTAGAGTAAAACTTTCATTTCCTTTCTCGTTTTTGGTCGCATAGCAGCGTCATCTATCGAAGAAGAATCGCCAGAAAGAATCTCATCTTCTGAAACTCCCTTGAGGTACCAATTACTACTCAACCCAATCTATTTCGATTCTTCCTTCTTGCTCGCTTGTTTCCAGTTGCTCTCAGCTATTGAATGTTATCCCCCACCTTTATGATTGCTCGAAGTTCCACTCAAACAATCGCCCGCAATTTGAGATGCTTTTTTAGCTCAGATCGTCGACGGCCATCTGTATCGCATAGAACTGAAAACAACAAAAGGTCTTACCTTTTCATTTTTTTGGGGGGGGCTGCTGAGATCGACATGGAAATGGGTTTTCTTCAATGTAGGGGAAAACAACTAATTGATTCCAGCTCTCTATTGTTCGAATTGGTTGAGACTTGAGATCCACTGTGTTCTTCGTTGAGCTATTCGTTATGTTCAACTAGAATCAATACCCGCGGCTACGCCGCAGGGAGTATTTGGTTATAGGGTAGAAAATTTGGTTATGATCATGCAAGTTAACCGAAGTCTGATTCGAATTTTACGATTAATAGTTAATCGAGAACAATAAAATGAAGGAATAGAATAGTTGCAGATTTGATTTTAGATCATCTTTGGTGTAACTGCACACCAAACTGCAAAACAAAATTCACATATAATCGCAAAATTAAACTACCCCAAAGCCAAATGGCCTATCCCATTAGGTAACCTAAACAAAAAAGAATGACAAATAGGTCAATTGGTTGAACGCAGTTAACCGCAACATAACCAAAAATCATAATATTCGGTTCTCTAGTAATCGCAACAACAGCAATTACAATTGCTAAAATGACAGCAATTCGGTTTTGGATAACCAACCAATTTGGTTTGATTAACATAAAATGAACCGAGGTTCAGCCCTATTTGGTTAATGTATAGACATGTCTAGTATCAATCCAATTCAACCGGCGAATCACCTGAAACACATGGATTTATGTGTCATATAATTCGATTTGGGTAGTGCATCACTTGACCTAAGGCATATGAGTTGCATGGTTGAGAGGGTTCAAAACTAACTCACCCCGATTCATGTAGACCCCTAATCATAGTTCATTTTATTGTTCTCCTTTCCTTAAAACTAACGAAAAGAAAGAAAAACAATGAAGTACACAATAGATGTCAAACAACATAAAACAAATTAAAAATTGATAAAAAGCTTATTCTACATTTACATGACATAAGTGTAAGAAACAATCGTCATGCTTTATTAGAACCTTGGTAGGTCCAAACAAACTAGGAACAAAAAAATTATATTTTCTTGTTATCTAGTTGGTCTTTCTCGCTAAATGGGGAGTGAAGCAGCTGTTAATATCTCATATGTCGTTCGACATCTATTATATTATTAACCATTTTTGTAGTCCGTGATGATTTCCAACAATACTTAGTTACCATTCATTGGTAAAATGGGTGAATGAACATATATTGAGTGAACAATGCATAAATAGGAAAGTTACGCCTAACCATCAGGACTCATATAATAAAAACTCTTGGAGAAAACAGGTAAAATTTCAAAAAAAATCATTGAATAATAACATTCAACTTGTTGTGAGTGAGGAAGAGAGTTAGAAGGTTATCGATCGAGCACAACTTTGACTTGGATCATAAAATATACAATGAATTAACTACTACATAGAGCGATTGCATATCCATATGATAAGCGAATTCAACACTAAAAGTGAACGCATACATATGATTATTATTCATAAGCCTAACATGTACAACACCTCACCTCTAATTCACTAACAAAAAAAATAATTTTTTCTCATTGTCCATACAACTTAAGACACCATTAATCGTTGTCCTGAGAGTAGTTTACAACTTAAGACACCCTTTCATCCTCACTAAAATTCAGTTAATTCTTTACTACATTTTTATCAAACCTAAAGAACTTGAATATATCCTCTGCCTGTGGTATCCTATTCGCGATTACTGATTTTCAATGGCTTAACCCAACCACACAAAGAGTTTTCCTGAGAGTAGTTGACACCTGACCTAATTTGTAATAAAAAGAAAATGAATTCATCATCAATGTTTACTTTCCTCTTAGCAACAATGAAAAAATCAATTAATTAAGATTCTGGATAATCTGAAGACCAAAATGAAAGATGGCAAAGTGTGCCATACATAGGACTATCAGTTCGGATTCAATTTCTTGAATTTCAACTAAACGAACAGATAAGGTGATCTTATCGTTTTTTGGTTTCGGTCCCAAACCTTTTGTGCTTAGCGTTTTTTGTTTGGTCAAAAATGAAAAAGCTAAAAACAATAAAAATAAAATCACAACCAATACACAAACACTCAATATTCAATTAAGCCTTGGTTTCATTTTCTTGAAATCAAATTGAACCGCTTAAGCCTCGGGTTTCATTTTCTTGAAATCAAATTGAACCGTTTAAACCTCTTAACGATTCATTTTCAAGAAAATTATTTTACTCAGTTCGGTTTGATTCGGCTAAACAAAGCAATCTTCCCCTTTGTTATACATACAATATCTTTGACCAAATGATAAAGATTTTTTTTTTATATATTTGAGTGTGTGAGGGATGGGGCAAGTTTTTTCATCTTCACTAAAAGACAAAAATTGAAATAGTAACTTTAGGAAAAAAGTGTAGAATGATAAAGATTTTTTTTAATATATTTGAGTGTGTGAGGGATGGGGCAAGTTTTTTCATCTTCACTAAAAGACAAAAATTGAAATAGTAACTTTAGGAAAAAAGTGTAGCTAACTTTTATATATAAGATAATAATGTTCAAGCAATGTGCAAGAGTGAGATGAAATGTTCAGAATCGATTTGATTTATGCTCCTTCCATCAATTCCCCATATCGATAACTAAAAAATTCTAGGCTAGCTGATAATTCTACTGGGACTGTTGTAGTTGTTCAAAATTAAGAACCGGGTGAAGGAAATTTTACTATGGTCCTATGTTGATTCCCCTTTTCTTTTATTTGATAAATGTTGCTGAATGTTTGAGATATACAGTAATGTACTCGATTATCGTTGCATTTGTTGATCTTGTATTTACAGTCTAGTTAAAGCTGAGTTCTCTAGCTGCAGGAAGGATTTGTATTCTTAGCTTGCAAGTGTTAAGGTTTTTGTTGGGTGAAAAACTTCACTGTTTGACAATGGAAACATCTCATTTCATTGCAGTTGGTACTGGTGTGATACAAGGTGGGGAAAGGGCGAATCGATGTCGATGCCATGGCTCGTCGTCTGAAGAACCGTGAGAGGCAACGTAGATACAGGGCACGCAAACGCCTCGAATCAGATACGAAGATCGGTTCAATTGTGGTGAGCCAACCCGTGCATGTACAACACGAGGTTGTTACAGTAGAAAAAGGTAAGGATACGAGTTATGTGTCTCGTGTTCATTCTACTCGAGAATGGAAGAAGGATGCAACTATGCAAGAAGAAGAAGAAGAAGAGCTCATTTAGGTGCTAGCCCTGAAGATCAACGTGCTGCTGCTATCATCTCCAATCTGGCCACCTCAAATCATGGAATTTCAGCAGAGCCAATCTTGACTTGTGATGTTCAAGTGGCAAGCAACGAACTCAACAAGCCGAAGCTTAGTCGAAGAAACTGGAAGGCCGATGCAAGGCGAACAAGAAGAGATGAAGACCGAGCAGCATCCGACTTGGAATTGGATCGCGTTTGTTGTGTAATGACAGTGTCGAAATGTGAAGTTTGCTAAGGGAGCGATACGTATCGATCGATATATACCATATAGTTGGGAATGGTTTGTCTGTGAGATAGAAACTTCGATTCGTCGTTGTGTAATGTGGTATAGTTATTGCAGATTGCAGGATAATAGATATCAGAGGGCAAGTTTTTGGGTTGGTGGTTTTGTTGTTGTTTCAACTTGTTGATATTAGGGTTTTTTTATCACTGATAAGACCTTTTTCTATTCTCAATCTGATATGGCCACAGTGATTTGTATTCGTTACTCATTGCTAGTTAGTCGTTACTTGTTGATTGATGATTTACATAACTTAATTCATATACATGCTCAAATTTAATCATATACATGTAATTAAGGGTCATACAACAAAATATAATAGAAAGCAATGTCTGGATAGGGTTTTTTTTTTTTTTGTTACTTCTGGTTTTTCTTCTCTTCTTTCCAATTCTTATGATCCCAAAGGACTTCCCTCCTCTTCAATGACAGACAATATCTATCAGCCACAAAATCAACAAATTTATCAGACATGTATGATTCATTTACCACAATGAAATCTATCGTTTCAATAGAAAGTTTATGTCATTTTTATTTAATAGTTTTGAATAAGGACTCGTGTCAAAATTGAAATGAAAACATTCGTGTCAATCAAATAAGAGGGGAAATATGTGTCAATCAAACCTCAAAAGATGACAATATCCAAGTAATTTTTATTTGCAGTAACTATGATTCCGATCGATAAATCACAGTACAAATTTAGTTTGTATCTAACTGTACCAACAAATATGATAGAGATGCGGAAGAAAAATTAATAATTTATTATCTGGGGTTTTGTCCTGGCCATTCTTATTTCTAAAGATGAGCAGCCAGAGGAAACAAATTTTCCTAAAAACTTGCCAAATGAAAGAAAATAAACTTTAACTATTAAATAGATTAGCTAGAGAATTATCCATGATAACGATTCTAATAGGTAATTCTCACCATTTACTCTCAAATTCTCAAAACTCCAATCTCTTCTCATTCCAGAGCTCCTTACCAACTTTGGCTGGCCACCATCCGAATTGAAAGCAATTGGCGCACTACTATTTACTCGTTGAGAATTCTTTTTCATCAGCTTTGGAATTTTCTCATACTCTCTATCTGAGTCCGTCCTCGTCAAAGGTTGACAAGTTAGACAATTTAAGCTCATCTTTGCCTATACACCAAGAGGGGATAAATACAATTTTACAGTTAATTCTCCCTCGATAATTTTTTGTTCCCTCTCTTTAAACTTTGATCCTGATCTCCAAATCCTTCTTCCCCAAGAAAATTGAACAATAATTTAATTTCTTAATTTTCTTGGGGAATTTGATTTGGAAAGGAAATCAAAAGAATTTTGAGAGAGATCATTCACCACCTTTTTCTTTACTGCGTGGAAGAGGTAATGTACCACAATTTAAGGTTCTCATAAAAGTCAATTTAGGGTTAAAAACAGAAGTGGTAAGTTTGAAATTAGTTATTTTTGAAAAAAAAAAATACCATATTTGAAAAAATTAGTATGTTGGTTTTTTAGTTGTTGCCAATGAAATCCGGTGTTAGTTTTAATCTAACAACAGCACCCCAAAAAGTTGCTTTGCCACTAATTTTATGGAAGAAGCATCTTAAGGGCATGTGTATGAAAAACAAGGTTGTCGACCATGGGCTGATTGGTCGGTTAAATTGTTTCGGTTCAGATCTAGTGCAATCGGGTGACATAATTTAGGAAAAAGTCGGTGCAGATTCGGTCAAACCTCAAAATCTTTGTCTAATTCTAAAAAGTCATTCAATTTAACCAAATGATCATTGCCCCTCGTTAAAATTTAAATTGATTTCTGAAGCTTGACCCTTGGATCTCAAGGTCTTAAGCCAACAACTTCACCACTGCATTTTTCATTGAATTGTGCTCATGTCTTGCAATCTCTTACTTCATACCAATTCCTTTTGTGGTAAACGGCGTACAGAGGCTCCCAAAAAACCTAGTGGATTGGTTTCCCTCCAAGTTCCAAGCGCACTTCTCTATGCAATGAGATGAATATGGATGGTTTATTTTTGAAGATTGAATAATTAGATATTTATTTTTTGAATTCTAAGTATGAATGTTTAAATGTAAATAGTTTGTGTTGGAATTAAGTATGTTATATCCCATTTACTATATGTTGGATTTAAGTGTAAATGTTTTGATGTTACGTGATATTTTGTATTCAAATATGAAAAATATTCAAATGAATGAATTTTTATATAGACCCTTCTTGCCACGTAGCAATCACACGAGAAATACATCTGAAAGGCGAGTTTGATTCTCAATTTCTCATTGCCAAAAAGGTTGCCATGCTATAATCATGTATATAATTAATAATAATTAAAAAAAAAGAACAAGAAGATCAAACACCTAAAGATCGATTGATCCAATAAGAAGTTGATGAGCGCATCATGTTAAATCTAATATTAATTGTATGAGAGTTATTATTATAGGGTGAAGACGAAACAACCCAAGTAGGGTTTTGGTTTTTTTTTTTTTTTTACGAATAGAACTGCTTTTATTCCTTAACCCATCAACGGAAACCAAGTACATTCTTACAACAAAGGAGAAACAAGATCAGCAACAGTCAACCAATCCGCAGGAAGAGATCCCAAACGCTCATTCCTCGCCACCCAATCAGCAAGACCATTGAGACGCCTGGGGATAAACATCACCTTGATCCAGGGAGCCAATTGGAGGAGAGAAATGATACGTGCCAAGATTGGTCGACATTGCCAAGGCCATCGATCAGGAGTAAGCCTTAAGGCGAGGATCAGAATCTGACAATCAGACCTGATACACGTCTGGCAAACATCCTGAGATGCCCACAAGACAGCATTAAGAATTGCATAAGCTTCCGCTTGAATAGGATAGGAACAAAAGACTTTCTCAGCCTTGCCGTCCAACACTTGACCATGGGCATTAGCAATAGTAATCCCATAAGCCGCCTCCTGTGATTCTGCACAAAAAGAACCATCACAGTGCACAATCCTCTGAACAGAACCAGGCGGTGGTGAAGGATGAGAGCGGGATCTCCTTGGCTGAGATTGCAATGTAGCTGATCTCAAAGAAGTAGGGCGAGAAATGAAATTTCTTGCTTCCTCAATGGCTTGGAAATCACGATCGGCTAACACTGCTGAAGAGGTCGGGGAAATGACCTTATCCTCAAATAAAAAGCCATTCCTAGCAATCCATATGTTCCACAAAATGCACACGCTTCTCTTGATGAAATCCACCGAAAAACTGTCCTTAAGCCTGAAGAACCATTCCGAGAACGAACAGTCCTCCTGCAAGAGGAAAGAAGAAGGACCCAACTGATCCCACGTAGAGGCAGCATGAGGGCACTTAAAGAAGCAGTGATGGATGGACTCAACATGATGATTGCAGATGGAGCAAGCAGGGCTAGGAGCACACTTTCGATCAAACAGCCTAGCTTTAGTGGCAATAGCACTCTTTGCAATCTTCCATATAAAGAAGCGCAACTTCGGAGGGAGAGACAGGGACCAAAGCCATTTCCAGTCTTCACTATTAGGTCGTAGGCCAGTTGATGACGTTAACTGCAAGTGAGGGTCCCTATTATCTCTGAGAGCTCTGTACGCGGATTTCACCGAGTAAGCTCCTGTATTAGAAAACTTCCATATCCACTTGTCTGCTGCCCCCTGGGGACCAATCGGGATGCGCAGGATATCATCAACCACTCCTTCAGGAACCACCTCATACAGGCTCTCCTTCTTCCACTCTCTATCATGTTGATGAATCCAATCGCTCACCTTGGACTGGTTCAGACCTAGAGAAGACAAGGAAAACGAAGGGGCAGAAAGAAGCCAAGGGTCAGAATTAAACAGGGTATCATTACCTGACATGATACTTTTAACCAAACCCATCTTGAGTTTTTCTTTTGTGTCGCAGATTCCACTCCAAATCCATGACCCTTTCCTTCCTTTAGAGGCCGAGAAGAAATCCCCATTAACAAAATAAAGCCCTTTGAGAAGCCGAACCCAAAGAGAATCCGGATTCTCCAAAATCCTCCAAACTTGTTTGCCTATCAAGGCAACATTGAAGAGATGGAAATTTTTAAATCCTAGACCCCCTTCCTCTTTTGGTTTCTCCAGAGTTCTTGCATCGCACCAATGGATAGATTTCTTCTTCATCGAACCCGCCCAGAAGAACCTCTTCAGCAGCGAATCCATCTTGTTAGTCAGGGAAAGGGGCAGAAGGAAAATACTCATAAGGTAAGTCGGAATAGCCTGAATCACTGCCTTCAAAAGAATCTCCTTTCCCCCCGGAGATAAGAGTAAACTCTTCCATGATTCCCCCTTCTTTTCCATCCTTTCAAGTAGGAAAAGAAAAGTTTCCTTCTTAGACCGCCCCCAAACCGAGGGAACTCCCAAGTACTTGTCGTGACAAATAGAAGGCGAGAACCCCAGTTTATTTGTGATAATGCCTTTGAGCGCATCCGGCGTGTTCTTACTGAAGAAGATCGAGGACTTATCGGCATTAATCTCTTGCCCTGTAATTCCTCCATAGTTCATTAGGATCCTCTGAATATGATCGACCTCTTTGACACTTGCTTTTCCAAATATAACAGTATCATCGGCAAATAAGCAATGTGAGATCCTAGGACAGTTAGGATTGAGCTTGATACCTTGAACTTCACCCTTTTCAACTGCTTTATCGATCAAGAAAGATAATGCATTCGACATGAGTATGAACAAGAAAGGAGAGATCGGATCTCCTTGTCGAATACCTCTCGAAGGTTGAAACTTCTCTGTGGGGCTCCCATTCATTAATAATGAGAACCTGACAGTTTGCACACAAGATCTTATCCATCCTCTCCATTTATCAGCAAATCCATAAGCAAGAAGGATAGCATCCAAGCACTCCCAATCCACTAGATCATAAGCTTTACGCATGTCTAATTTTATCATCATGTCCCAATTCCCACTCCTTCTGGTCTTAAAGTGATGGAGGATTTCATGAACGATAATGATGTTGTCCTGTATTAGTCTACCTCCAGTGAAGGCCGCCTGCATTTCCGAGACAAGTCCAGGCAACCATTTCTTCATTCGGCTTGAGAGAATTTTTGAAATGACTTTGTACCGAAAGTTGCAACAACTTATCGGCCTGAACTGTTTAATAGATTCCGGTGATTGGACTTTCGGAATGAGGGCGATGTGGGTATCGTTCCACCCGTCAGGCATGATTGAAGTCTCAAAGAACACCTGCACTTCCTTACAAAAATCTGGACCAATCTTACCCCAAAAGTTTCGGAAAAAGCTCCCTGCAAACCCATCTGGACCGGGTGATTTTGTGGGTCCAAGCTCAAACACAGCTTCTTTAATCTCCTCCACAGTGGGTTCCTTGCAAATATCTAAATTCATTTCTTGTGACACAAGTTGTGGAAAATCCTGAAGAGCGGACAAATCCCTGCCATCAGACTTGGTGAACAGAGTTTTATAGTATTCTTTAACATGAGAATTAATATCTTCAGGCTGTGAAATAACACCACCATTCTCATCAATCAACCTAACAATCTTGTTCCTCAGCTTCCTGTGAATAGTTGAGGAATGAAAGAAGTTAGTATTCCGGTCTCCCTCATTAAGCCAGCTGATTCTAGATCGTTGGCTCCAAAACAGTTCTTCATCCTTCCAGATAATAGCCAATTCATTCATCAACAATTTCTCTTCATTGATAATTTCCTCAGTACGCTCAAGTGAGAGAATCTCCTCAAGCCTTCTTTGAATCTCATCAGCCCTTTTATTTTGATCTTGAAAAACTTGTTTAGCCCAAATCCTTAACTCCTTTTCACATTTAGACATTTTCTCTTCACAATTTCCTTCCTCTTCCCATATCCTGTTGACAATATCATGGCACTCTTCTCTCTTTAGCCATCTTGTATCAAACCGAAATGGAGTTTTGACTCTCTGCTTTACACCTTCCAACTCCACTTTCAGGGGGCTATGATCAGACTCGATAGGCAGCTCATGGATGACCCTAGCATTAGAGAAGGTGGAGAACCACTTTCAGGGGGTTTTGGTGATTTGCTAGCAGTAAGATGGGATACATTTGTAAGCTTGGAAACAAAAAAGGAAAGAGTTCTGTTATGTTATATACTTTGACGATATCCACATTTTGTTTTTATTTTCTTCCTC